TTTAGACAGACCTACAGAGATAATAACATGCACAAAAACAAGACAAAGCAAAACCAAGCAACAATATACAACAAAACAACAACAACAAACCAATGACAACAAAACAAAACACAAGAAAGAAAAGCTTGTAGTTAGTTCAAGGACTATTTGTTGGCCTTTAGGAGTATTTTCCAGTCCAGTCTGTTGGGGCACCATGCCCTGGCCCTGGGGACCTCGCTGCTCCATTCCTTGCTGGTCTGTTGCACCCCTTTAGTGTTTTGTCTCGGTGTGGCGGGATCAGATCGGGCTCAATTCCCACACTGTATCTCTGGTGTTATCCCCTGTAGGGCTATGGGTCAGTGAGGGACGTCATGTCTCATAGTGGGGCCGGCCATGTGGTCCTGTGTATGGACTGGCTGCTCTACTCAGCAACATTGTCCTCAAGGCCTGGTGGGCCATGATGTGCTCCACTCTCTCCTCCTCCCCCTTCATCTGTTCCCGTGTGCTCCCATCAGATATGTTCCTCTCCCGGAGCTGCAGATTCAGTGCCATCCTTTGAAATAAATTCTTCTAGGGGGAGGGGCAGGTGTCCATGTAGTAGTTGGGATTGGGGCCAGCCCCTCAGCAATTTGGTTTGCCATTCCACAGTACATACATGCAATCCACTGATATTGATTGCAGTCCTCACCATGTAACAATACTCTTCCCACTTCCGCCTTGTGTCTCTTTTCTATCCCTTCCTGCCTTCGGAGCTTTACCCCGGGGGAAATGCTGCCCTTTGGGTCATACCTTCCTGGGGTTAGCCTATAGGCCTATGTATTATTTGGCTGAGAGTTGAGACATGGGAGCAAGTCTGAAAGACTTTATTGCAACCATTTTGGAGTTCAGTTTTGTCCCAAGTACATTCAATAGAAAATTAATCCCACATATGCTTCATGATGTTATTATTCCACCCTCAAAGAATTTTAGAAAGAGCTGCCTACTTTTCACCTCTCTTGAAAATCCATGCTGCACATTAACCAATTAAAAGGTCCTTAGAAGTCCTGTAGGTAAAGTCTTCTAAGCTTGGTTCAACCCGTTATTCCCCAACTTGATCAAACACTGACAAATAGTGGCTGGCTTGATTAGACTGTAGTAAGCTTCCCTCTGCAGTTGAACTGGAAGAGAGGCTGGAAGGGTACCGCTCCAGGCACTTCTTGTGGGAGAAATGGGGTGGAAAAAATTCTTTCTCAAATCTTTTGTGAGCTTTGTCCAAACAGACTAAGAAGCCAGGCCATTTGTCTATTCCTTCAGAACGATACACCAAGTGGCCTAGCCTGCCCTTTGGGGTTACCTGGATCCCTGCTTGTCACACTCAAATCAAATTCTTCTCCAACCGTGCAGTCCCCAAACGGTCTTTCTTTCAGTTACCAAGAGGTCCATTTTCTACTTGGCTCTGAAGATCGAGTTGACTTGTTCAGCTTCATCATCAAAAGGGTCATTACTCTGCCTCCTGAGGAGAACTTTGCCCAGATGGAGGAAACCAGGTCCATTGGGTCCAACAACTCAGAGGTAATTTGTGTTTTGCTTTAGTAACTTGCCATCCACAGGGTCAGTTGACCTTGGCCTCTTGAGGGTACCTTTGATTTTTTTTGGAATGAGCCCAAAGCCATTTAAACCAAGTCTGGTGAATAAAATAGTAAAATTACACTGTATCTTTTTTTTTTTTCCTTTTTGTCTTCGTTTTTCCTTCATCCCCTTTTCCTTTCTTTTTGGATTTAAAATAAGGTGAGATGATTTATTCATGTATTCATCGAATAAAGACTTGTTAAAGGCCATTATGTGCCAAGTGTTATGAAAATACAATAGGAAATCAGCAGTAAAGAGGTAATATGTGCTATGAAAATAAAAGCAGGAAAGAGGAGGGCAAAGAACACCATATTGAGGTGACACCATTATGGGGTGGTCAGGGGAGGTCTTCCTGATGGAGAGCGGGCACAACTATCTGGAGGGGAAAGGCTAATGTCCCAATAGTGTTTGGTGGCCCCATTAGGAATGAGAATGTGCTCAGTTTCACTTCGTGCCATGGGCTGACTTCCAGATGGTTAGAGTCCACAGCAGCCACAGCGCTTGGGGAGCTGCAGGTGGGGACGCAGCTTTGCCCTTGTCTCCGCAGTGTCTCTACAGGCAGACGTTCCAGGCGTTCTTGGAGATGCTCCAGAGTTTGGTGATCAAAGACCCCCACTTGGAAAATCTTCATGTGATCTTCGAGGTACACAGACTGTGGGGGGAGGGTGGGAAAGTATTCCTGTTGACCCGTGACGTGGAGGAAGGCAGCAGGGAAGATTCCATTGTAGGAGCAGCATGACCGTCATGAAGAGTGACAGCCCAGGATGAGCAAGACCAAAGAAAGCAATCTGCTCCAATGGTCTCTACAAACCATTTAACCTCCCTCCCTTCTTCCTAGCTGATGGAGTCCTGGCTACAGTCCGTCAAGGACCACGAGCGGAGGCGGGCCACCGTCAGCATGGCACAAGTTCTGAAGTGCTTATCCAGACATCTCGGCTTGAAGGTAAACAGCCCTTTAGGTACCGAAGAAGAAAGACCTGTCCAAAGACATCCAATCATTGCCTGCTTCCCTTCCCGTTTTGACCCCCCAAACTGGCATATCTATCCCGTGTCCTCATGTTTCTGATCATCGCAGTTCACATCGTTAGCATATATATCCGCCCTTCTCCTGAATCATTAGTAACTTGAGGCCAATGGCCAAGTTTACTAATCTTGGCATCTCTAATGCGTAGCCCAACAGATACAACATAATAGCTGCTGCAATGGCGCCCAACTCCAAATCGTAGAGACACAGTATAGCGCTGCCATCTGGTTGATTCAACTCTCAGTGGCCGTTCAGAACAGGGCAGAGCTGCCCTGACGGGTATCTGGGGCTACAAAAAGCGTCATCTTTCTCTCTTGAAGAGGCTTATTGGTTCAAATTGCTAACCCTTGCGGTTAGCAAACCAGTTCGTAACCCACTATGCCACCAGGGCTCCTGGCAACATCGTAATAGTGAATGTTTCTTAATGAATAGATGGATGTAAGCTGAAAATATCTAAGGGCTTAAAGTGACCTAGCCTTTGGGCAGTATTGCATTTGAAGAAAAAAAGTCCAGCAAGCAAGTTTAATTAAACCAGTTTACATAATTCACAGCATCTCTGGGAGAATACAACTCTTGCATTATGGTACTTCTTTGTAAAATCCTCTCATCGAATCTCTCTTGCTCTCTTCTCTCACTCCTTAGTGTTTCTGAGTCCTCTCATCACTCCTAACAATGAATTCTCCAGTACTAAGATTTTCCTCCCTTGGTCCACTTCTTTTCTCATCTGTGGATCCCCTCTCCCCCCTCCCTGAGTAGAACCTCCAGACACTAGCGCAGGGGTTCTCAACCTGTGGGTCGCAACCCCTTCAGAGGGTCAAACAACCCTTTCACAGGGGTCACCTAAGACCATCAGAAAACACATAAATATTTCACAATATATAGTTACATATTGATTTGTGATTAATCACTATGCTTTAATTATGTTTAATGATGTTCAATTTGTAACAATGAAAATGCATCCTGTATATCAGATATTACGATTCATAACAGTAGCAAAATCACAGTTATGAAGTAGCAGTGAAAATAATGTGATGGTTGGGGGTCACCACCGCATGAGGAACCGTGTGAAAGGGTCGCGGATCTAGGAAGGTTGAGAACCCCTGTGCTAGAGCTTCTCCTAGTCCCCATTCTGCATAATAAGGCCCTGCTATTTGGAAGAAAACAAGGAGCTATGGTGGTATAGTGGTTATGCACTGGACTGCTAACCACAAAGCAGTTTGAAACCACCAGCCATTCAAAACCACCAGTCACTCTCTGGGAGAAAGACAAAGCTTTCTACTCCTGTAAAGAATTGCAGTCTCAGAAACTCACAACAGGATATTGTTCTGTCTCTTACATTCCTCAACTTCTAATTTTGGCTGAAGATTAAAGAAGACAAGGGCTTCATATGACCCACCTCTCTGCCTCTTCCTTAGCATTTTCTTTTCTAAGGAGAACTGCTAATGCAAATACTCTTAACCTGGGTACGTACCACTGCAGTCTGTGAACATGTTGAAGTTTGTGTGGTGTGATCTGCTGCATTTTTCTGAAGACTGTCTGTAGCTTTTTAAAAATCAACTTTTTCGAGGTGTAATTGATATATAGTCAAATTGGTCTAATTTCAGTGTACATTTCAATGCATTTTGACTATTTTCATAATCTGAAAGGAACCTAAAGAGATGAGTGGAAAAAAAAAAAGAGAGAGTGTTAGAGAAGACTCAGTGACCAGACTAGCAGCATAATTCTCTGCTGTAAAAATGGCATGACAGGAGCTTCTGACCTCCTTTACCGTCACGAGGGAGGGAGGGAAAATTACCACCAGCAACAGCGGACTAAGGCCGATTCTATGAGGCAGAGGTCAGACATGACCCCTCTCTTCAACCTTTTAACCCATCTGGCACTAATCGTTTGTCTCACAGCACTCTTCCCTTCTGGGTGTCATCACTCATTGCAATGGGCACACAGAACTCACAGACAATCCTCAGGATTATGAGCTTTCTTAGGGAAATAACGGTACAATTCAGGATCAGAAAAATACAGTTTGTTCATCTGAAAAGCCTCTTTCCAGCTTGGCATCTTGGGCCAACACCAATTCTTCCCTGCTTGGACAAGTGCTACAAAGCTTTTTAGCCCTGCCAGTACGTGCCTGGGAAGTGGGGGCTCCCGACTTTGCCAGCAAGCTTCTTGCCTGAAACTGCTCAGCTCCGTGGATTGGGAAGCCCGCTGCTCAGTCTCCTGCCAGTCTTCTGGTTCTGTCCCCTCTGTGCCAAGTTCCTCTGTGACTGCTGTTGGTCTTCTCTCACCATGTTGGTGCGACAACGCTCTGTATCCTGGATCTAGGAGGTTCTTAGTAAAGGGACCCCAGGTCTAAAGAACATGCTCTGTTTCCGCTGACTCTTTTTGGTTGTAGTCGGGCTCCTTCCTTTCCACTTCTGGGATGGCTCCTTTTACGCCTAGTTAGTAGGCTGGCACAACTGACCAGTTCACTCATTGGTGTCCCGTCTTCTTGGTCCCATTCAACAAGTAACTTATTGCCATTAGTAGAGAGCCATCCTATCCCTTTGGTCAGCCACAAGCAGTCCCACCCAACAGTGGAAGTCAGAAGATTATCATAAGAAAATACATAAAAGTGATCTATCACTTTTTAATACTATTATAAAATAATATAAAAATGTGCGCATTATATAAAAATGTATTTTTTTAAGTACAAGAAAGAAAAACCATTAACTTGTTACCATCCAGAGAAAGGCACTGTCGATATTTTTATTTAGTTCAAGGGTTTTTTGTTTTGTTTTGTGGTTCATGAGTATGTTGAGGTAGGAACTTCTGCTTGAATCTCTTTCAATATTCG